TTTAGGGTGAAATGTAATATCACGCAAAGGCTTTTGAAAATATTGTCAAAGGCTTGAATGTCTTTATGCGGAACTAAAAGAGAGAGATGAAAAGAATATTTCGAGAATAGGGCCTAGTTTAATTGAGGAAGTGAGAGTATTATCAATGAGAAAAAAAATAGAATTTTTAAAGCGATTTTTTATGATTATTTTTATTGCTTACAGTGGAAAAAGAATTTGAATCAAATAATGAATTACTTTTCACTATTATTAAACTCGTATTTATTTGTATCAAATACACTGAACAAAAAATTTATTTAAATCAAATAAAAAATAGGTACTTTATTCAATTAAATTAAATTTAATTAAATTACTATTGTCTATTATTCATAAAATATTTATTTTAACTAAGTTATTAATTAATTGACTAATGTATTAATTATTAATTATTAATTTATTAATTTATTAATTTATTAATTTATTAATTTATTAATTTATTAATTTATTAATTTATTAATTTATTAATTTATTAATTTATTAATTAATTGATCTAATTAAGATTTATTTAGTTCAAATCAATCTAATTCAAATAATTCATGGTATTTGAATCAAATAAATATTTTTTAGATCCAAATAAAAATCAGTTAAACCAAGTGAATATTTTTCAAAAAATGTTAATTAATTGAATCAAACAAATATTTTTTCAGTGTAACATTCCAAACAGTAATTTATTAGAAATTAGAAATTATACTTGTCTGATTGAAAAGAAATTGATTCAAATAACCGATTATACTTGACTATTATCAAATAAATATTTACTTGAATCAAATAATTTTTATTTAAGTCAATTAAGTGGTTCCATTTATATTTGCTTCAATTACTGAAATTATTGGTTCAAATACAATAATTTATTTTATTTAAAAAAAATTATTTGATTCAAGTAAGTATTTATTTATTAATAGACAAGTAATTGGTTATTTGATTCAGATAAATTTTTTTTCCAGCACAATGAAATTTTATTTAAACACGAAAAAAATATTCTATTCATGAAAAAATTTTTTCTTCAAATTTTTATACATGAATCATTTAATTAAACAGTTCGGGATAATTAGAAATTTTTTTTCTGGATGTTATCAGCTTTTAAAGTAAACTTACTTATTATCTTCGTTTACCGCAGAAACTATACTATATAGTCGATATTAAAAGAAAAGTTGACACAAAGTTTTCATTTTTCCTAAGAAAAATTTTAATATTTATTTTTGTCACAGACATTTATTGAATTGTGAATGTCTAATATGTCAATTTACATAAATTTCTAATGAAATCGCGTGCTGAGACTTTATAAGAATAAAATGTTTTATTATTCATGACACTATATGTAAACTTATATAATTTAAAAATTATTTTTTTTATTATACTTCATAATTTTTTTTTTTTGCTCCTAAATGGAAAAATTTGATAAAATAATAATCAGTTGCGTGTTTATAAAATATATGAAAAAAATAATAATAAATAAATAATCTAGTTATCTGTTACCGAGAAACAATGCACTTGATACAAATAATCAATCAATCGAATTTTTCTTATCGAGAAAAAGAAAATACTACCTTAATCTTTAGCTGGAAAGTATATAATTGTAGACACCTGTTGTTACAACACCTGATAACTGAAAGTGACTGAAAAGCAACTTTTAGTTGATTTCCTCTTTACCGACAACAATATACCGTTTACCAATAAAGAAATTATTTTGTTTCGAAATTTTCTAATAAATAATTTAGTCTAAAACTTTGTTTTTGTAATTACTTAAGTTTAATGAATTATTTTAATTGATTATTTTAATTAATTATGTTAATCAACTATTTTAATCGACTATTCTAAATGACTATTTTAATTAACTATTTTAATCAATTTTCTGGATAATCTCCTATTGATAAGGTTTTAAGAAAAAAAAATTGATTATCACTATTGATTGCTTTATAAAAAATTAATTAAAAATCTAGAGAAAATAGATAAAAAGTATTTTTCTCTATAATTGGGTTTTCAATTAAATGTATCCCCATCATACTAATTATATACTTACTTAATGAGTAATGATATTAAATAGCTTAACTCCCAGAGTTCAGAGAGGTATTTTCTAATTTAGCTTTGAAACATATTTTGTATAAAGACCATCAATTACGTTTGGATTCGAATTTCAAATATATTATATTAATGTCCTTTATTCATAATCGACAACTCTGAAATTTTTTTCACTCTATTTTCTATCTGATATAATCAATTTTTTAAAAATTTTTTCTATCTACTGCAATCAATTGTTTTCAAATTTTTTTAGCTAATCTCAATCAATTTTTTATTAATTTTTTCTACTTAATCTTTTAATAACAAAATTAGTTTCTTTTCAAATGACAACATCTGTAAATAATTTTCGATTCAAAATTCTAAAAAATTCACTCATTAAGTAATTATCTAATTAATTGCGATTATTTAATATTTTTAAAAATTATAATATATATCTTTCGTAACATATAATTCAATTTTTTTTTAAATTTTAATAAAACTCTTCTCAAGAATTCAACTATTGATTTTCAAAAAGTTTAATAAAACTCTTCTCAAGAATTCAATTATTTTCAAGACAATTAATAAAATTTTTTTTAAAAATTCAATTACTTCCAAAAAGATTAATAATATTTTTCTCAAAAATTCAATTATTTTCAAAAAGATTAATAAAATTTTTCTCAAGATTGCAAGAATTCAATTATTTTCAAAAAGTTTAATAAAATTCTTCGCAAGAATTCAATTATTTTTATGAATAGTAAAATTCTTCACAAGAATTCAATTATTTTTATCATTAATAAAATTCAATTATTTATAAAAATAATAAAATTCTTCACAAGATTTCAATTATTTTATTACATAATAAAATTCTTCACAGGAATTCAATTATTTGCGATACAATTTAAACAAAAATACACGAAAGAATTCAATTATTTTTATCAATAATAAAAATCTTTACAAGAATTGAATTATTTATAAAAATAATAAAATTCTTCACAAGATTTCAATTATTTTATTAAATAATAAAATTTTTTACAAGATTTCAATTATTTTATTAAATAATAAAATTCTTCACAAGAATTCAATTATTTTCAAGAAAATTACTAAAATTTTTCTCAAGAATTCAATTATTGTCAAAAAGTTTAATAAAATTCTTTATAACATTCAATTATTTTCTTAATTTATAAAATTCTTCACAAGAATTGAATTATTTTCAAAAAGTTTAATAAAATTCTTCGCAAGAATTTAATTAATTTTAAAAATAATAAAATTCTTCCCAAAAATTGAATTATTTTCGATACAATTTAGACAAAATTACAAGAAAGAATTCAATTATTTTCAGAAATTTTAATAAAATTCTTAGCAGAATATAAATTATTTTTGATATTATTGAAATACAACTTTCTTCAAAAAAGTAAATTATTTAAAAAAAATTTAATAAAATTCTTCGCAAAATTCAATTATTTTCCAAATTTTTTTAAAAATTCTTTTTGAAAATCAAGTTACTTTCAATTACATCAAAAAATTACTTTCAAAAAAATTTTAATTCAATTTCTCAAAAGAATTTAATCATTTTCAAAATTTCTAATAAAATTCTTCGACATATAATGAAATTATTTTCATAAAACAAGTAAATAAATAAAACGTAAATAAAACGTAAATAAAACGAATACTATAATTATTGAAATTTGCAAACAATTATTTTCATTGAAGTTTTAATTAAATTTCTCGAAAGAATTTAATTATTTTCAAATATTTTAATAAAATTCTTTGAAACATAAATTAAATTATTTTCAAAAATAATAAATTTCTTCTAAAAAAGAAAATCAATTATTTTTAATTAAATCCTTCAAAAGAATTCAATTATTTGTAAAAATTTTAATAATATTAATTATCAATCTTTTAATATAGTAATAAAAATAATTAAAAAAAATTTTTTTTAATAATATTCTTCGAAACAATTTTTTTTAATAAATGATAAAATTATTTGCAAGATTTGAATTATTTTTGATACAATCTTTACAAAAATCTCTCTAAAGAATTTAATTATTTTTAAAAATTTTAATAATATTCTTTATAAAAAGACAAATTTTTTGAATTCTATTTTAATTAAATTCCTTGAAAAAGATTAATTATTTTGAAATATTCTAATAAAAAATCCTGTGAAATAATTCAATTATTTTCATATATTTTCAGAAATTTTAATAAATATTTATTTAGTAATTATTTAACAATCATATTATAAACATTTGATAAATATTTACCAAATATCAACTATAATTATTAATCATAGACAAATATAATAATTTAATTTTTATTATTATATTAATTACCCCCAGAAAAAATTGTTTGTTGATTTAAGAAATTTATTTGGTTTGATTTCTTTTTTCGATTGAAATTAATTGTTTCTTAATTCAAAATCAATTCACTTCTTGTAGATAAAACTTTTGTTGAGAAGAAATAAATAATTTAGTAAGATTTCAGTCAAATTTTTGTTTTCTGAGTGAAATATTAATTATTATATATTATATTTTATTATAATATTACTACACTAAAATTTTATTTCATTTAAATAAAATTTTATTTGGTTCAAATAAAAGTTTTATTTATGTCGAATAAAATTTTTATTTACAACAATAATAATGAAAACAATAATAATAATAATTTAAAACAATAATAATCTAGTTGCCTCTGAAGCAAATATACTTTAATTCAACTCAAATAAATTATATTTGATTTGAATAAAGTTTTCTTCGGTTGTAAATATTTATATTATTTATTACATTTAATTGTAAAAATTAAATATTTTAAATAAATAAATAACAACAATTGTTATATTGTACCTGGAAGAAAAGATGGTAATAAAAATTTCTGCAAGAAAAATATTTTTACATTCTTATTTATACATATATATATATATATGTATATTCAATAATTTTAATCTTAAAACAGATTCAGTACAGCCATTTACAACTTATATATCATAACGAAATTTCTGAAATGAAACGCCGATTATTAATTTCACTAATATGCAAATGTAAAATTAATTCTGAAAAAAATTACAGTATAGATACCTATTATAATTAATTTAAAACCCAATTTTTATGGAGTGTATATATTATTGAAAGCGTATATTGTTAAATTTTTGCATAGTCCTCAGTTATCATCTATGTACAAGGTGTAATACGTAATTCATTAAAAGCGTACAAAACGAAATTTCGTTTAGTACAACAAAGTGTCTGTATATATGGTATAAAATTCAGAGTACGCATTTTCTCCTCCACATAATTCTGATTAACTCAGAATATTTTCAAAAAAAAACAAAAAAAAACTGCGCCTCATTTTTTTTCGTGTTCTTCAAATTCAAAATTTTTTTTTTTTAAACAGGAAGATCACTTTTAACACCTCAAAGAGAAATATTGCAAATAAAATTTGCAAAAAGAGAAATTTCCCGAAGATTTATATTCTTCTTCATGGTAATCATTTTAAGTCTCTTTTGACTTTTATAACAATAAAATAAGCCATTGTGGAAGTTTTTTGGTTATAATGTTCGTTTTTTTTTGCCTTTAAACGTAACCACTGGCTTCGAGTTTGAGAGCAGCTTCATATGAGGGTAAGCCCTCGTCATCATTATTGGTGAGTTCTTTAGATTTTATATGAGCCGTATCTGATTCCGGACAAACCGGAAGTATGTTCCCTAGACTCCTCGGTGATTCCTTCTTATCACTAGGCGAGGGTAAATTCTGGGGGTTGAAGATTAGGCTTTCATAAGCTGGAGGTGGTCCCGGAGTTACTGGACGGGGTACTGACGATAAGGTCCCTTCTTCCGTCCCGTTTAAACCTATCCCTCGCTCGTAACACTGCAAAAGGGAAAGAGAAAATAATGCATTACCGAGAGAATGAGAGAGAGAGAGAGTCGAAGGAAAATTTTCTGATAAAACTTTAAATGATTAATTTTATTTTATCGCTCCAAATTATCTGTCTTGCAGGCCTTGGATTGTATGACTTTTTCGATTTTTTTTTCTGATTCTTTGCAAAAAAAAAATAAATAAAATGATTGGGGTAAAGTTTATCTAAAAATTTTCTTTCTAATAAAGGTGAATTTCTAAAAAACTTTTTTCTAATTTTCTTTATTCTAATAAAGGTCATTTTCAAAATTTTTTTTTCTAACTGACTTTTTCGATTTTTTGTCTGATTCTTTGCAAAAAAAAAAAAAAAAAAAAAAAAAAAAAATGATTGGAGTACAGTTTTTGTAAAACGTATTTTCTAAACATTTTTTTTTTCTAATACAGGTGAATTTCTAAAAAGCTTTTTTCTAATTTAATTTCTTCTCATAAAGATCATTTTCTAAAAACTTCTTTTTCTAATAAAGGTAATTTTCAAAATTTTTTTTTCCAACAATATTCAATTTTTGTAATGACGATCTCAATAAGTATGTGATAAAAAAAAAATTAATGAAGATTTTTTAATTTAAAAAAAATACTTGAGATTTCGTTAAAAAATTATAGTAAATACCTTCTCATGTGATGAGAATGTAAAAATGAAAATTATGCAAATTTTTTAACGAAACACTTTAAAATAATGTAGTTAAATATCGTAATTAACAAGTAGAAATTACAGGGATTTTTTTCCTAAAGTTATTTAAAATTTTCTAAAAAAAGTGATTAATAAAGAAATTAATTTTGGAAATTTTAGTATAAAAATGATGCAAATTATTATTTTTTTTTCCAAGAAAAACAGAATTTTGTTAATAAATTTTGTGATAAAAATAGTAATTTTATAAAATTTTTTTTTCCTTTTCAAAAAGAAACTTATAATTTTGTAAACAGAATTGTGATTGAGAAACAGAAAATATGCAAAATAATTTTTATTTTTCTTAGTTTTTTAACAATTTTCTAACTTTTATCAAAATTATGGAATTTTACAAATGTTAGGAAAATAAATATTAGAAATCATAAATTCATAAATTTTTAGTTTTGTTCTAAGACTTAGTTTTTTTCTTAGTTTTGTTCTTTGTTGCAAATTAAATTTTACTGATTCACTTTTTAACTAATTTTATTATTTATAATAAACAAATTAATTCCTTCGAAGAGTTTCTTTCAATTCTTTAAAAAAAATTTAATTATTTCTTGAGATTTTATTAAAATTTTATTAAAAATAATAAAGTTAAAATTATCGATTGAAAAAAATTACATTTCATTTTTTAGTAGGTATTTTTTTTTAAAAATAATTTATGGAATTTGCTTGAAAATATGTTATTAAAATATTTTGAAAATAATTTTGAAAATTCTCTTGAGGAATTTAATCAAAATTTTATTGAAAGTATTTTTTTAAAGAGATTTAAAGTAATTGAATTCTTATAAAGAATTTTAAAATAATTGAATTTTGCAAAGAATTTTATTAAAATTTTAAAAAATAATTGAATTATTTCTCGAAATATTGTTAAAATTGTATTGAGAATAATTGAAAATAATTTTTTAGAATAGAAATTCATTTCTTTTTAAAAATAATTTTCTAAATAATTGAATTTTGCAAAGAATTTTATCAAAATTTTTTAAAACAATTGGATTTTTTCAACAAGTTTTATTAAAATTTATGAAAATAGTTGAAATTTAAAAAAATAATTGAAATTAATGTTTTAGAAGTGTTTTATTTTATTCGAACATAATTTAATTTATTTCAGAGAATTTTATTAAAATATTTGAAAATAATTAAATTCTCTCGAGGAATTTAATTAAAATTGCATTGCAAATAATTGATTAGTTTCGAAGAATTTTATTAATAGTTTTTATTAATAGTTTTTCTTTCGAGGAATTTACATAAAATTTTATTTAAACTAATTAAATTCTTATAGAGAATTTCATCAAAATTTTTGAAAATTATTATTGAATTTGTAAAGAATTTTATTAAAATTTTTCCAACTTGAAAAAAATTTCAAAAGAAAGATTTTTTTCGAGAAAATTTAATTAAAAATTGTATAAAAAATAATTGAATTCCTGCAAAAGAATTTTATTATTTATGAAAATTATTAAATTCTTGTGAAGAATTTTATTAAAATTAAAAAGAAAATTCAATTATTTATTTTATTTGACTCAAATAATTCATCAAAATAAATCCAAAAAATTTGTTTTTAAATATTTTTTAAAATTCAATTTTGAATTAGACTTGTTTTTTAAATTTTCTATGAAAAACAAATTTATGAGAAAAATCTATGAGAACAAATCCCAATTTTCTTTATGTTGATATTACAAAAAATTTTCTTGAAACTTTTCAGAATGTATAATTAAAAGCTTTGCATGAATTCGAATAATTTACAATATAACTCGGATTACAACGATTGTTTTTTTTAAAAAGAAAATTTATAAAGAAAATCAATTCAAAATGGTTTTAAAATCTCTGCTGTTGTTATAGTTATATTCAAATCTGAGAAATTTGTATTGATTCTGTATTGAAATTATTTTAAATAAAAATTTAATAAAAAAGTGAAATAGAATACAATAAAAAAAAAATAGTGAATAAAAGCTTGGTTTTAAATTAGCTAATAATAAAATATAATTAAGTAAATAGTAATTATTATAAAGTAAATAATACTATTTTTACATTTTTTTGCATTTGAATTGATTAAATCAGAACTTTTTACTGCACTATGAAATCGATCCGAGGCCTGAGCTTGCATTTTGTAAGAGAAAAATTTTTTCTAGAAAATTATTTAACTAGAAGCTTTTTTTAAAACTACTTTTAAACATTGTATAGAAAAAGTTTCATTTTATGTCCAATTTTACACAACAAATTTGATTCATTTATGATTTTAAACAGCTTTGAGAGTCTTTTTTATTATTTCGAAATAACTTTTTCTTTGTTCGCATATAAAACTTCTAATTTCATTTTCCTTTATTTCAATTGTCCCTATTCCTCTCAATTTAATAATAAAACTAATAAAAAAAATAATGACAATATAAATAATAATATAAATAATAGAAATAATGATAATAATAAAAATAATAATAACAATAATAATAATAATAAATAAAATAATTAATTTCAAGATACAACTGTAAAAACAAAATATAATTAAATTGTTAATATTATAAATTGAAAATAATAAATGTGATAATGATAATAATAAAAATAATAACAATAATAAAAGTAATAGCAATAATGATAGTAATAACAATAAAAGTAAAAAATGATGATAAAATCTCATGATAACTATTCTTATTTCAAGAAATCTACTCTATAGATAAAATAATGAGCGTATCATCTTGTCGGGTTGAAGTATAAAAATTTTCTAAAGTTTATTATATTGAAAATTTTCTACCTCAACTCAACAAGATCATAGAAATATTGCATTATAGTGTCCACATTTTCAAGTAAGTACCTATATATTTTGGTTGCTTTATGATTGAATTTACGTTCATGATGAAAACAAAGAATAAAAACAAAAAGTAGAAATAAAAAATAAAAACAAAAAGTGGAAACAAAAAATAGGAAAAAAATAAAAACAAAAAGTGGAAACAAAAAATAGGAAAAAAATAAAAACAAAAAGTGGAAACAAAAAATAGTAAAAAAATAATAACAAAAAGTAGAAACAAAAAATAGAGACAAAATTTTTTAAAATTAAAAAAATAAAGAAAAAAGTAAAAACAAAAAAAAGAAATTTTTTTTAAAGAAGTATTAAAAAAATAAAAACAAAAAGTAGAAACAAAAAATAGAAAAGAATAGAAAACTAATAAAAATAATAATAGATAATAAAAATTAGACATAAAAAATAAAAATAAAATAAAAAAAAAAAACTAGAATATAAAATAATGAGACAAATTGAGAACAAGAATGACAATTGACACAATAACAGAATAACAATTGTTCTATAAAATAATTATTATAAAAGAAATTATTGTCAACCTATTTTTAACTTAGATAAAGTTCCTTTTGATTAGAATCATCTATAGAAATAGTATATCTATAGTCAAGGAAGCTAAAAGTAGACAAGGCTGTCTTAGTCGGACAACCTCTGTAAAATATTTAGAAAACTCATTAATAGGTAACTGCTCTACAAATGAATGGAACTTGAGAGTTCATTCAAATATAGAAAATTTGAAAAATTAAAAAAATCATTTTCTTAAAAGTAATAACCATTATTACCATTATCGTCTTCATTTTATCAAAGAAAAAAAATCCGCTAAATATTATATTAGCACTTTTTTTTATTTTTTTTATTCAAGAAACAGTAAACAAATTTTTAACTAAAATCCGAAAAGAGAAATGTTTTTTTTTTCAACACTTTTCTCCCCAGTTGATTTGATGAAAAAAGTGATTTTTTTTTAAACAGTCTATCTAAACTTTATGCATGTTTTCGAAGCTTTGCAAGATAAGATCTTCATTCTTTTGCCTTGTGAATATTAACGCGATGTTCCTTATTCAAACCTTACTTTGATTTTGTAATAAACAAGGTTTTCGCAAAAATATATATATTCCCTCTCTGAATATAATTATCAAGAAAATATAACTCACAAAGTTTATATTACATTCATTTGAAAAGAATTTCATTTAAATTACTATTTTACTGGGGAAATGTATTTTTCTATTTGCTTATTTACTGCCTGCTTTTTTTCATTCTTTATTTACATTAATCGAGTTTTAAAATTTCAATCATATTTTTGAGAAAAAAAGTTTCTTTGAATCAAAGGAATTCAACTAATACATATAAGTGATCATTTCGTTGCATCAAAGAAATATTTCTATGAATTAAAGAATGAAAGGAAAAAATCGAAAAAAAGGAATTTCTTCTCCAGAAGATGAAATTTTATGTTTACTCAGAAATTTTTGAATTAAATACTCGATTATGAAATTTTAATTAATTATCCAAATTTCAAAAATTGTAAAATAATTGTAAAAATTGTATTTTTAGGCTATTCTACACTGAAAAAAAGTTATTTGTATCATATGGGTCATTACATGTGAATTTTTCTTTAAAAATATTTTTTTGTTTTGAACATTTTTTCGAATTTTATGTGAAAAATAAGAAAATACGTATTTTTTCTTTTTTTATTGGATGAAAATTGTTAAAGTTATGATTTTTTTAAATACATCTTTTTCAGAAGCCGAGGATTGTTGAAAAACGTTCTTTTCTAAAACTAATAGAAAAATCACTTTTTACAATTAATTTCAAATTTTAAGATATACTTTCGTTGCAGAAACGCAATTTCTTACTGAATATCTAAAAACTTTGTGAAAAAACGGAAGAAATTTTATATAGAAAATATTTTCTTATCTTCTGAAAGTATTATAGAGAAAAACGTATTTAAAACGTCCTCGGCTTGTGAAAAAATTTAATTTAAAAAAATCCCAATTTTCACCAACTTAAATAAAAAATAAAAAATACTCGTTTTTTTTATTTTTTATGCACAATTCGAAAAAAAATTGTACCAAAAAATTAAAAATTTTAATAAAAATTTCTCCTGGAATGCCCCGTTTAAAATTTAATTGTTACAATTAACTGATTTCATTTTTAATGGTAAATTTAAAAAATAAAATTGTCATTGAATCAAATAAATATTAACTTGACCTAAATATTTTTTATTTCATCTTGTCAAATAAATAATTTGAGTCAAATTCGAATTATTTGAATCAAATAAGTTTTCAAATTAATATAAATAAATAAATAAATTCTTTTACTTGGTTCAGATATAAGTGTGATTCAAATAATTCAAGTTTTTTGAATCAAATATATATTTTTTAGTTCGAAATGAAATTTGGATATTTTTCAAATAATTTGAATTAAATTAACTAATTTTTTTTATTTTTTAATTTAATTTTAATTTAAAAATTTTTTTTAGTGTAGAGAAAGTAGAAAACATTTATTTGATTTAAAGAAACATTTGGTTCAGTTTAAAAAATTTTGCCTTCGAAGAAAGAATTTGGTCATTCGAATCAAATTTAGTTGAACCAAACAAATTTTTCGTTCTCTATACAACATTGCATTTATTTAATTATATTTCAAAGTTTGATTTTTTCAAAAAAAAAAAAAAATGTTTCCTAGTATTTCATGCCAAAATAATAACAAATAGAAGAAAAAAATAAAAAAAAGTACTCGTCTTTATTAAATTCTGCAACTATAATGATTATTTAATGAAAGAATTTTCCTTTAATGATACACTAACTTTGTGATATTAATTTTCTTCCGAGTATTTTATATCAAAAATAATAAATAGAAAATTTTATCTACAAAAAAACAAAGAAAAAAAAATTATCCCTCTTTATTAAATTCTGCGACTATAATGGATATTTTATGAAAGAATTTTCTTTTAATGATAAAGGAATATACAGTTGGATCTGTTAAGGAAATAATTTGATCTAACTGATAAAAGTTTCTTCAAGTACTTGTTTCGCGTACTTATTGGTAGAAAGTGGGAACAACTGAGCGCTCTATATACATATATATATAGGAATTGAAATAGGAGAAAAAAAGTAAAATTAAAAAGTAAGTTGAAGGATTAAAACGGGAAAGCTTAGAAAAAAAAGTTATAGAAAAATGGAGATATATTTTACGACTGGTTTGCTTACCATAGCATGAGAATCCATCGTAAAAACTTCAAGACTGTGAACATCTGGTTCAGTGCGCCAGTATTGAGAATATTCCTGCGGTCGATGCTTTCGTACATTTCTATGACAGCAGTAACAAATCAGTACGACGATCATAATCACACCGCTGAGCATGGCTCTAAGAAGAGAAAAGAGAGAAAAAAATATATGAAAGAATCATTAAAACAAAAAAAAAGGGAAAAAAAGAAATACTAGTTTTCTGAAATTTATATGACACACTTCATCAGGCAGTTCATTTACCAAAAATTCACAAAAATTTTAATTTGTATTTTAATTACTGCTTTTTTTCTGGTTTAATTACTTTTTATTCAATTCTTATTTATTTAAATATTATTTTTTTCAAATATTATTTATTCAATTATTATTTATTCAATTATTATTTTTTCAATTATTTTACAGTTCAATTATTATTTTTTCAATTATTATACAGTTCAATTACTATTCCTTAATTATTATTTATTCACTGAATTACCTTTTAATTAATTACTTTTTTTCAATTATTATTCAGGCAATTATTTATTTAATTATTTTTTATTCCTTTATTATTATTGAGGTTTATGTAACTTATCTTTTTTCTCAAACTACTTTTGTTTATATTATAAACTTTATTTATTTAATTTCTATATACCTAACACAAAGAAAAAATTTTCAAACGCCGGGAATTGAACGCAGGACCCTAACGTTCGCAAACCGATAACCTAACCACCTAACCATCGCACACTTTTTTATTCCATCATTATTTACTTACCGATTTACTATTTATTCAATTAAATTACTGTTTATTCAAAAATTATTGAATGAATTATTATTTATTCAATTGAATTATGATTTTATTTAACTCAATTACTATTTAGTCAGTTGAATAATTTTTTAATCGATTAAATAAATAATATTGATTTATTTTAATAAATTTACTTGATTACATTACTTTTTTTTTCACTTGAATGACGATTTATTGAATGAAATTAGTATTTTGTCAAATTGAAATTAGGCAGATTTTTGTTCTTTACTATTCTAAACAAAATTAAAAAATTGTTAAACAACTGTGATTAAGAAATAGAAAATTTATTTATTTTGCATTATTTTTGTTTGTGAATCAAAATTTTTTTAAGAAAATTATTATTTTGTTTTAGAAAAAGAAGAAAAATATTTGCACAATTCTAATTTTTAATCTTATTTTTGGAAAAGGATTTTCCACTGGAATAAAGACATTCAAAAATTTTAAATTCTAACTTTTTTTTAAATTAAAAAACTTATAAAAGTATTTTGTTATAAAACATGAAGATATCGATTGCTTCGAGTCGAAGACTCGGAGTGATCGATTTCTTCATGTTTTCTAAAAATTAAAAATGACCGAGAGATAAAATCATTATTTTACATCATAACAATATTGTTACTGTAATCAAAATTATTTTTATAATTTCAATTCAATTATTATTTTCTAGAATTTGAAATTATTTTTTATGAAAATAATTGAATTCCTTAAAAAAATTTATTATTTATAAAAATAATAAATAATAATTGAATTCCTGGAAAATTTTTATCATTTATGAAAATAATTAAATGTTTGTATACAATGTTATTAAATTTTTTTTTAAATAATTGAATTTTTTTGTGAAAAATTTTATTAAAATAGTAGATATTGAAAATCTTTGAAATTAGAAAAATGCATTTTATTTTTGAAAATAATTGAAATTAGGACATGAATTTTTTTGACATTTATGAAAACAATTGAACTTTGGACAACAATTTTGTTATTTATAAAGATAATTGGAATTTTTTTCAAATTTTAAACTTTTTTTTTTAAATTTTATAAGAATTTTTTTTTTGTTGAAAATAATTGAATTTTTGCAATTATTTGTCATTTTTCCAAAATTGAATGTGTTTCCAACAAAAATTTAAATTAGAAAAATTTTTTAATTCTATCATTTTTAAAATTGATAATTTTATTTAAAAAAAACAGTAAGAATTGTTGCTAGTTTCTTAATTAAAGTATTTATTTGTTTTAAATAAAATATTGATTAATTTAGTTACATTTTAAAATATTTATTACTTGCTCTCAAAATATATTCAGTTATTTATTTTCTGATTTAAAGGCACAAAATTTGAAATTTATTTTTATTACTATTTTTAAAGAAACAATTTTTTATTTTTTCCATTAAATTACTAATTTTGCAATTAAAATACAATCCATTCAATTAATTTACTATTTTTTCTTATAAAATAAAATTTATTGAATTAATTTGCAATTAAGTAGAAAATGGAAATAAAAAAAAAATAAAAAAACAATTAAGAAAAATTATTATTACTTTATTAGTTTAATTAAATTAAGCTACTATTTAATTAACTAAAAGAATAATAATTAAAATAACAGCAAATATTCCTCAAACGAAATTGTGTTAGAAAATATTCTCCTATTTGCATGCAGTGAAATATTGATTCATTTCTTTCCCTTCTTTTCAATGCTTTCGAAACATGTTCAATATTATATCTGACCAAAATTTCATAAAAATTCAAATTCATTCTAATTAAGATTGTTTTTATTCAATTAAATTTGTATTTATTCAATTAAATTACAATTTATTCTCAATTAAATTACTATTTACTCAAGTAAATTACAATTTATTTCCTGAAAGTACTATATTTAATTAATGAAAATAAAAATATTAAGTAAAATACAAATATAAATATTCCCGATATCGAATTGGAGTTAGGGAAAAAAAAATTCAGTTTTATATTTTGCTTGGAATAAAATATTGAATAATTTATTTATATTTCTTAATGGTTTTGAAATATATTCAAGGCTTTGTACGATTGTTTTTTCTGATTTCAGTATCGTGAAAAGTTATTTGTAGCATTATTCTGACTCTCTCTCTCTCTCTTTCTCACTCTGTGTGCATTTACAAATGTATATTAAGTTCCTATTTGCGAAATGCTAAACACTCCCTAGGTGACCATTTCTCGAATATTCTAGTCTAGTAAACTTTATGAGTATTGACGCGATAAGTAAAGGTCCTTTTATTCATTTATAGAAAAGGAGTATTATAAAATTTATCAAAAAATATTTTTTTTTTATTGTAATTCTTTCCAAAAATTAATAAGTATTTTTTTAAAATTAAAATTAAATGGTTAAACATTTCTATTCATTCTAATTATGTTTCTGGAATTAAAAAAACCACACCTTCCACAATTTTCATCGAAAAAAAAAAATAAAAAATACGTGTCTTCTTATTTTTTTTACGTATAATTCGAAAAGAATTGTTCCTAACAAAAAAAATTTTTTAATAAATATTTTCCTATTTGTGCGCAAATTGTTTATTATTTATCAATTTATCGCGAATTTATTAACAAAAACCAGAATTTAAAAAAAATAATTACACTAAACTTGTCGAAAGGATTGTAAGAGCGATGCCTAAAGCTATTAATTTTTTCTTTGTGCTCTTTTAATTATGATGTTAACTAGCTGTGTGTAATCGGGTCAGAAGACTTCAAAGAATTTTCAAATCTTTGAGTAATTTCTCAAGCGACTAATGACCGAAACTCATATATAATGTGCATGTGCCAAACAAAATTTATCGTCTGCAAGTATTTCCTTTTTTACTGCAAAAAAAAAAAAAAATGAAAATTCAAAAAATAACTTAATTTTTAAATTGTTTTGCAAAATTTTCAATTTTTGATTAATTTTCAGTTCACATGCAGAAAATAAATAACTGCGTGAAAATCAGTTGAATTATAATTTTGCTTCCATATAGAGGATGAATTGTATTTTTAATTACATTATTTTTGTATTTATTGTTAAAATTTTTCTTTTCTTTTATTTATTTTTTATTATCTTTTTCATCGTTTTATTTTATTTATTTTATTTCTCAAAAAAAATTTATATTTTTTACTATTTTTTTTAATAGTTGTTTTGTAATAAAAACGCCTTAATACGAGGATTTAATACTTTAATATTATTTAATAACTAGCTGTCGTTTAATATACTAAATTAATAATTTAATATACATAATTAATTAATTTAAGGCGTATTTAGGTCTTTTTATTACAAAATAATTAAAAACTGTTTTAACAAAAAGTAAATACTACTTTTTTTACTGTTTACTTTTTGAAACAAAATAGAAACATAATTATATTGAATAATTTACTTATTCATCTTTTAATTTCCATGTACGAACTCTTTTCTCAAAACAAAAACTCAACTTTCTAATTATTTAATTATATACACAGAAAAAGAATTTTCAACAATTTCTAAAAGTAAAAAAAAATTTTCAAAATAATTTTTTAATTCTTTCCGCTCATTTCTTTTTTTTTTAAGGAACAATCAGATTTTGAACAATGTAGAAAAGGAGTTGAATCCTAAAGATGTGGGGGGGTGTCGTTTTCCTCCTTTTTTTCTCTCATTCATAAGGCGTCGATAATTATTTTTCATCAGAAGGATGACATGAAAAAGATTTTAAAAAATCAAACTCACGAGAAGAAGAGAGAGAGAGAGAGAGAGAGAGAGAGATAAAAATTTTTTTTTTGAGAAGTGTAAAAAAATCCTTGACTCTATTCAAGAGACAGGGGATTTGGGGTATTCTCACACGGTTCTAAAGTATCAGGTCGAGACCCTAGATTTTACAAGTACACACTTGCAACGCGTCCGCCTTTTTCAAAAGAAAGTTTTATACACCTTTTTTTCGCGCAGCAGTGATTATATCACAAATCGAGAGAAGAAGAGGTGGAGATGAGGGGGAGGAAACTCTTTCTTCATTTGTACAAAAGTTATTTCTTAAACCACATCTCTCTCTCTCTCTCTCTTTTTTTTTAATACAACAAAAACTTGTTCTTGTTATTATTTTTTAATGCACATAAAATTTTTACTACTACTTTTTTTTCTCTTCTCTTTGCATGCCATTTTTCTTTTCGCTTTCATTTTCATTTGACTCAATTTCTTTTTCATGTATTTTTCTTTTTAGAAATACTTTTTTTCTACGTGGGAAAAGAAAAATTTTATTCAATTTAATTTAGTTCAAATTTTGTATTAAATAAATGTTTATTATATTAAATATTAAATTGTATTTTTAAAGTTTATTGCTTAGTTTTAAAGAAATAATTTTGGATTTGTTTTATTAAACATTTTTTTTGGGGAAGAAATATTTGGAAAAATCTGTTCGATTTTAATTTTAATCAAAATTTAGTTTCTTTTTTCAAATTATTTTCGTATTAACACATTTTTTCTAAGAATATCAAATTGAGACAAAAAACGAAACAAAATGTTGCTTCGCAACACTTTTGATTCGTTTTTTGTCTCAATTTGATATTCTTAGAAAATATGTGAAAATGTGTTTCGAAAAATTATTAGCTTCAATTTTAGTTTGAAAAAGAAACAATAAATTTCCTTTGAAGCAAAATTTTTTCCTATTACAATTATTTTCGTATTAAAATGTATTTTGAAAATTTATTTGCTAAATTTTAATTTGAAAGAGAATAACTTTAGTTTGAAATAAAATTTAGTTTCTGTTTATAAAAATTATTTTCGTGTAAAAATTTGAATTGAAAATTTATCATCTTTAATTTTAGTTTGAAAAAGAAACAACTTCAATTCGAAATAAAAATTTAGTGTCTGTTTTTTTTTTATTTTGTATTTAATTTGATAATTAATCAGCTACAATCGCGGCTTTTCGATTTTTTATTCTTTTGAAAATGAAACAAATTTAGTTTGAAAAAAAAATTTAGTTCCTTTTTATTAAAATTCTCATTTGTAAAGTTAGTTTTTTCTTTTTTTATTATTTATTTTTTAATTTTAGATTTTCTTAGACCTTTTTTATTATAATTTAATAAAAATTTAGTTTTCGTTTATTAAAATTATTTTCGTATTTAAATGTATTTTGAAAATCAAACTCGATTTTAGTTTGAAAAAGAACAAATTTATTTTGAACTAAAATTTAATTTCTTTTTATTAAAATTATTTTCGTATTACAATATATTTTGAAAGTTTATCAGCTTCAATTTTAGTTTAAAAAAGTAACAAGTTTAGTTTTTAGATAAAATTTAGTTTCTGTTTATAAAAATTATTTTCGTATTAAAATTTAATTTGAAAATTAATCAGCTTCAATTGTGGCTTTTCAATTTTTTATTCTTTTCAAAAAGAAACAAATTTAGTTTGAAAAAAAAATTTAGTTCCTTTTTATTAAAATTCTCGTTTTTAAAGTTAGTTTTTTCTTTTTTTATTATTTATTTTTTAATTTTAGGTTTTTTAGACCGCTTTTTATTATAATTTGTTTTGTTTTATTTTTTAAATTTAATTTAAATATAAATTCAGTTTTCGCTTATTAAATTTATTTTCGTATTTAAATGCATTTTAAAAATTTATCTCTTACTTTGAAAGAAAAAATTTTAGACTTTTTTTTATTAAAATTATTTTTTTTTGTTTATAAATATTTTGAAAATTTATATGTTCGATTTTAATACATTTTTTTGATCGTTTAGTGTTTTCTTTTTTATTTATTTTTTTATTCTAGATTTTTTAGACCTTTTCACTATAATTTTTTTTATTTTATGTTTTTAATTTAATTTAAAAAATTTAATTTAAACAAAAATTTAGTTTTTGTTTATTAAAATTATTTCCGTACCTATTTAAATGTATTTTAAAAATTAAGCTCGATTTTAGTTTGAAGAAAAAGAAACAAATTTATTTTGAATCAAAATTAAATTTCTTTTTATTAAAATTATTTTCCTATTAAAATTAGTTAATTAAAATGTATTTTATAAATTTATCAGCTTCAATTTCAGTTTGAAAAAGTAACAATTTTAGTTTGAAATAAATTTTATTTTCTATTTATTAAAATTATTATGTTATTAAAAAAATTTGAAAATTTTGCAGTTTCAATTTTATTTTGAAAAATTAACAAAAATTAGTTTGAAGTAAAATTTAGTTTTAATTTATTAAAATTATTTTCGTATTAAAATTGAGGCTGCAATAAATTTTAGTTTGAAAAAGAAGGAAATTCAGTTTTATTTTTTCTTTTAAATTCCTTTTTATGAAAATTCGCCTTTATGAAGTGTTTTTTGAAAATTGATCGATTCAATTTGTTTTCCTCTTCATTAAGACAAGTGGATTGAAAAATACTCACCCTCCTAGAAGAATATTCACGTTTCCGTGCAGATCGGGCTCAAAGCGGCTGGATCTTCCATTCCCAATGGAGGACATGTTATAACCCTGAAGAATGTAACTCAAACCGGAACCACTTGAATTATTCGAATAATATTGAGAAGAGTGTACAGCCGTTAGAACTGCAATTCTCTTCATTGACATTTTAAAAATCGAAAAACCTCTTGTTTTCATTGATCTCCACTATTTTCATTTCCTCCTTCTTCTCAGCTTCTTAGGATCCTTGAACTTTTAATTTTAATCCTTCTGCTCTATCATCTTATGCTTATTTTACTTGGGAAAAATAATTTTTCCATTTTAATTTTTATTATTTTTCTAATTTTTATTAATTTTATTAATTTTATTATTTTTATTATTTCTCTATTTTTTTGTAATTCTCCAGTGATTCTTAAATCATATTCTTAATATTAATTCTTAATATCATCTCATTATTCGAATAGATATTTTTTCAATATATTTATTTCATAGTTCTTCTTTATTTTTCTTTTTTTAATAGTAATTTTTTTAATTTTCTGTAATTACAAATTTTTTTAATAGTAATTTTTTTCTTTTTCGTAATTATAAATATTTACGATGAGTTTTTTTCTAAACAATTTCAATTGTCTTTTTGTTAAATATATGATAATCACAGTCTATTAAATGCAGGATATAAACATCCGTTAGTCTACCAAGTAACTGTTAAAAATTAACTTTAGAGCCTTAATTTAGAATCTGAGAATAATCTTTGGAATCTGAAAAAAGAAATGACAATAAATAGTAAAAATTTATTCGTACAGAAGTTATAAATATTGGTGAACTTTTTGCATAATTTATAAGCATTCAGAAAAAATATAGATTTGTCTCAAAGAGTCTTTTTTAATTAACTTATGTTTCATTTAAATTTAAATTGAATAAAAATTTTATTTGTGATGAAAATCAATTTTATTTTATTCAAAATGAAAAAATTAGATTTACTAAAAAATATTTTATAAAATAAATAAAAATAAATTAAGATAAATTAAAATAAGTTAAAAATAATATTTATTCGTGAGAAAAATTTTTCTTTAATTTTATTAAATAAATATATATTTCGATATTTCGAATAATTTATTTAAATGAAATATGAAAGGAAAAATTTATTTCAAAAAATTTTTATTTCTGCCAAATAAATGTTGTCGTTTTGCAAACAACTTTCCTTTTAATTAATAAAAAAAATTTATTTTCGTTAAAAAAAGTTCTTATTTGAACCAAATTATTTTCGCGAAAGAACATTTTTTTCACTTCAAATGAAATAGAAAAAAGAGAATTTTAATTTCGTTGAAAAAACATTTTGTGTAAAAGTAAATTTTTTAGTTTCGCAAAAACTTTTTTTCTTCAATAAGTAAAATAATACAAAAACGCTTCGTTTATTTTGAATAAAAACTTTATTTTTGCTTGCAAAAAAAAAACTTTTTATTCACGACAAATAAATTTGTTATCTAAAACAAATGAAGAGCTCAGTGCTTCCGAGGCAAATATACTTTTATTAAACTTAAATTTTATTTGATTCAATATTTAAATGGGAATAAAATTCCCCTCTTTTCAAAGGTTTTTTTAAAAATCTATTTAAACAACCGAATAAATAAAAAAATAATTCCTATTATTAATTTTCAAAAAAAAAAATTTCCTTTCAGGTGTCGCTGCAGAGGTGTAAAAGATTTTGGATGAGGCTATTCACAGAATTGGCAGAATTGACAGGTAATTAAAAAAAAAAAAAATTCTATTTTTTATCGCGTGAACAAAGAAATTGAAAAATTCTATTTCGATATTTTTTTCGCACCTCAAATAGAGTAAACAAAAAAATTAAAAAATTACATTTTCTCGAACACGTACAACAATGGCATGCGTCAATAGAGAGTTTTTGTTGTATTTCATATGATGTATTTTGTAGTTGATATTTTATTTTTTGAATTCAGGTGAACAACACTCATGAATATTAATTTCTTCGATCGGCTTTGAAAACAGGCTGTTATTATTCATTGGCAAAAAGCGAAGAGTAATTTCAAATGCTTTCAGGTGAAAGAGATTATGTTGCTTATATCAATCTGGTATGTTTCTGATATATTCTACAAATTTTTTGTTTCTATAATCATTCACACTGCGCAGCATGCCTTTCGTCTATTTTTTTTCTTCCCACTAATCTCTTTGTTTCAATCAGCAAATAATTGTTTTAGTGCGAACGAAATTTTTTATTTTTAATGAAAATATATTAAAATGACAAATTTACTAGAAAAAAAAAAATTTTCAACTAATTTCTTTCAATGAGAAAATATTATAATGATTTTGCCACAAAAAAATATTTTTATCTAATTTCTTTCAATTAAAATATTCTTTTCATAAATTTTTGGTGGTGAACGTATTTTTTATTTTTAATAAATATATATTTATTATAATGACACTATTTTTATTTTATTTTTATTTTTATTTTATTTTCTATTTCATTTTCTATTTTAGTTTCTATTTTAGTTTCTATTTTATTTTTCTCTGATTTCAAGATGAAATTTTCAACCTTTTTTCTAATTATTTTCACAAAGAATTTTGACTTTTTTTTTATTTAAATAGGAAATAATTTGAATTTTTTTTGTCTGAGAAAAATTTGTCAAAACAAAAGAGAAACAACCCGTGTGGAAAAATTTTAGGGCGCTGACCAAGCGCTTAATAGACTGTCTAACGTCTTTCTAGACCCAGGGCAGACGGTCTTGTCGAGCGGCTGTTCAGAATTGAAACGAAACTTCCACGCTATCGTCTAGAATAGACCAGCGTTTCTGGTCTGATCAGCAGTGCTAGTAAATTCTAATCTACGTCTATTCAAAATTTCTCATTATATGTTATGACAACTATTCTTAGAATAATAAAACTTAATTATATTTGAAATAATTTTAATGACTTTCTTTTATATAAAAAGTATTAAAAAATATTTTAACTTTCTGTATTTTTCACTTCAACTTTCTTTAAGCGTAAGGCTTTGTGTCCCTCCCAATCTTTGGCATTGGAGATAGTAGTCTTTTTGTAAAATAAAATTTACTGCAAATCAAAACAGCCGGATGAAACTATCAGTCGTACTCAGCACCAATCTTTAGGCGTCAACCACTAATTAATGAAATTAATAAATAAAAACTTACTAAATTTGCTATTTAGTGGATATTGATTCTCAAATAACAATACTCGATGGTTTTTTAAATCATTAAGTATTACAAAATTTGAAGGAGAGGCATATTGGTAGATGACGCCTAAACATTGATGCTGAGTACGACTGCTAGCTTCAGCCGACTAATCAAAACACATAGATACACATCAAAATCTATTTTTTTCAGTGCACATTTAAAATTAAATTATACAGAAAACAACAACAACATAGCACATTATTATTCACGTAAAACAGAAACCACAACAAATACTATAATTCACAAACAAAATGCATCACACACTGACTGATCTAACGACGCCAAACGACGCGACGCCATTAGGCGCCATGTTACTTAACAGCTGGGCATTCATCGACGCATGCGCATATAACATCCTAGACCAAATCTAGACGGTCTTAATAACACCGTACTAGACGGACATATTTGACTTAGATTTTTTCTAATAAGCCAATCTGTTAAGTCACTGATTCGGGACTTGATGGACCGTCTAGAATTAGACGGACTTGATGATTGCTAATCGGGAAATCATTGGACTCTAGACTGCCACAATATTTTTCCACACGGGAATTTGAAAGGAAATGTTTCAGAAAAATCTAAAGAGTAAAAAGTCGTGTGAAAGAAATGTGAACCGAATTTCTTTCCACTTTTCCCTTGCGATGGTCATTTTCTTTTGTCCAATTCGATACTTCATTAAAGCTAATTAAGTGTCACGTCAAATGTAATTTATTTAATTATTGTTGTCCACTGCGTGCTGTTGCTACTTGCTCTCCAAGTTTAATAGCCTTGCTTCTTTGTGCGCAATTCACACTCACTTGCATTCAAATCAACGTCTAATGAAATATTCTAACGAAATGGAAAAAATTTTTTATTTCGTTTTTCTGCAAAAAAAAAGAAAAGAAAAAAAATGTGTTTCCTTCTTTGTTAAAGGAAACGTTTTTTTTTTTAGTGCAATAAATAAAGGAATTAAATTTAATTTCACTTTCAACAATATACAATATAAAACCACTTTATTAATTTTTTTTCTTCTTCTTCTTTTTGGAGGCAAATTATTATAAGCTACTTAGCATTTTGCCTCGAATAACTTATAACATCAAAACGCTTCTCCAAAGTAGATATCTTCAATAACTTTAAGTTTCCCTAAGCAGATTTTAGTTCGTGTTTTACATTTAAATATTTGTGTTTTGTTTATAAAATCTTAAAGTGCTTTTTAGTTGGAGAATTTTTCTTTTCTAATTTACATTTTTGATGGGGGTTTTTATTTTTGTTTCATATTCCATTTTAGTTCGTTTTCTCCATTTTATTTTGTTTTCTTATATTTTTCTTTGTTTTCTTCTATTTTTTGTTTTCTTTCTTCTATTTTTGTTTGTTTTTTCTATTTGATTTTTTTCTTATATTTTTCTTTGGTTTCTTCTATTTTTTGTTGTTTTCTTCTATTTTTGTTTGCTTTTTTCTATTTTGTTTTCTTTCTTCTATTTTTTTTATTGTTTTCTATTTGATTTTTTTCTTCTATTTTTATTTGTATTTTTCTATTTTTGTTTGTTTTCTTCTATTTTTGGTTGTTTTCTTCTATTTTTGGTTGTTTTATTTCATCTCTTTTCCACTTTACTTTGTTTCTCCAATTATTTAAAAATTGATGCGCTCTTTAATTTTTAAATTCGACCCATTTAATTTATTTAGAAACAAGCGCACTCAACTGTTTGGAAAAGTTTTCGGAAAACTTTTAATTTACAACAAACTTTTCTCAATTTTCGTATTTTCTGTCAAATTATGCACCAAACGTTCACCGCACAGTTGAACATTGATTTAAATTAGCGACTCTGACTTTTCGACTAAATTTAAATAAAATAAAATTTTTACTATTTCTTCATTTTATAAAGTTGATTTATTAAAAAAGTTAGACACACGTAAAATTTTATTCGACATTCTTTAAATTTCAAATAGGTTTACAATTTTAAATTTACAATTTTAAAAATTCTAAGTAAATATTTTATTTCTAAATATTAAAACAAAAATAAATATTTTTATTGTTAAGTTTTAAAAAAATAGGTAAAAATAAATATTTTACTTTTTTATTTGCAAAAAATTGTTCAACCGAAAAAAAATGATAGAAATTTAGAAAAAAAATTTATTTTTATTGGTGAAAATGAAAATTTATTTTTCAAAATTTAGTTTTGAAAAAATTTTCTTAATTTTCTTCTCTTGTTTCTGAATTCATAGAAACTGGACACGCAGCTGTACATTTTGTGATGGGAATAAATATACTGTATATATACACGTATAAATCGATTTGAAACTTGTTACATTTTACTTCGCTTCAATAGCACGCATGACAGTCAAAGTAATTGTTTCTTTTTTTCTCTCGAGTGCAACAGACTCTTGGATAATGAGAAAAGTTGTATTTCTCTGCACAACTACATTTTCAAACCCCAGGTCGAAATTCACTTAACATTATATTTGTTTGGTAGTTATGTTCTGTTTATTGCAACATAATCTTGTTTCGCGTTCAATTCTACAATGCTAATTATCTTTTTGCACCGCTTCCAATATTCGTATTTACGAATTTCCGCTTATCGCTGTGTTTTTTCACATTTTTTTTCCTTTTTAAAAATTTCTCTCTTTGATTTTTCATAAATTTATTATTTTTTTTTTTAGAATTTTTCTGCGGAAAATTTTTTTTTGGAACAAATTTTTTTAGAATTGTCTGTAAAAAATAAGAAAACACGTATTTTTTTATTTTTTTATTCGATAAAAATTGTAAAAGTTGGGATTTTTTTAAATTCAACTTCTTCAGGAGCCGAAGATTTTTGAAACACGTTTTTAATACTTCTAGGAGATAAAAAAGATCTTCTACAGAAACTTAATCGTTTTTTCTCAAAATTTTTAGACATTCAATAAAGAATTACGTAAATACAACGAAAGTATCGAAAAAAATCGAAATTTATTCAAAAATCTGACTTTTCTCAAAACCAAAATATTCGAATTTTTTTTAAAGTTACTAAATTTAAGAAATTTTTTTCTCTTCAGTCGAAGAATTCCTTAAAACGGTAAAAGAATTTCTAAATTAATAGTTACTCAAAAAAAAAATTTCGAAAATCAATCACTTCGGTTTTGAGAAAGAAAAGTCACATTTTCGAATTAATTTCACTTTTTTTATACTTTCCTTCTAGATACGTAATTTTTTATTGAAGAACTCAAAACTTTGAGAAAAAAACGACTAAATTTCGTGTAGTAAATTTTTTATTTAAAAAAAAACCTGTTTCTAAATTTTTCGGCTTCTTTAGAAATTGAATTTAAAAAAATCACAACTTCCACAATTTTCATTTAATAAGAAACTAAAAAAATACCTGTTTTCTTATTTTTCACAAATAATTCGAAAAAATTTGTTCTAAACAAAAAAAAATTTTAATAAAAATTTCTCCTAAAATGACCCATTTACACTTGTCATAAAATTTTTTTTTATTTCTTTTCTGTTTTGTTTTTTTTAAATCAAATTAAATTGAATAATTTATGAAATAATGAATTAACCAAATTGTAAATTAAAATTGAAAATTCAAAATGAAATTGAAATTAAATAAAAAAATTAGTAATAAAAAAAATTAAAGAAAACAAATTTTTTTTATATTAAATATAAATTGCCTTCGAGACAATAATTCGAGTATTTAATTTTTTATTTAAATCAAAAAAAATAATTAGCGTTAAACAAAAGTGTACTCTATTCAGGAGATATTTCGATCAACTCGAAGAAACATCTAATCGAGTGAATTTTATAATGACAATAAGGGGGTGAGCATTGGAGTGTTTTAAATGAAAATAAAAGTAAATTTACCGAATTTGCAAGTCACAATCACAATAGAGCAGTGTAAATGACGTTGAAATTATTCGACCGTTTGCGTCTTGGCCTT